TGTAGCCAAGTGCAACAGCTGTTCACTAACTGCATCATAGTTAGGAACAGTAGTACCTAATAAAATGTGGTTACGAATGGAGTCGAGTTCGAATGGTAGTCCTTTAAGTGCCATGACCATGAAAAATTTACTCTGTTGTTCGGCATGAACTGTTGCATCTTTTGCGTACGGCATGAGGGTTGCGTAACTTGCTTTCAAGGCATCAAACTTACTCAGATAGGTTTGCATATCCATATTTTTCATCTTCAGTGTGTTGAGTTTGAGGATGACACTATATAGACAATGAACGTCGTTGGAGAAGACTTTCTTAGCCTTTTCCCAAACCTCATAGCAAGTGGAGAAGGCTTGATACTGCGCTTGGAAGTTAGATTCTATGGAGAACCATAACACGGTAAGTAGAAAGGTATCAGCTTTCTTCTATTTAGCGAGTTTGGCGGCGGCAACATTAGTCAATTGTGTGGTTAAGTGATCTTCATATCCCTGACCATGGAACCACATATCGACAGCACGGGCCCATATGTTATAGTTTACTGATCAGGTTATTTTTTCACATGGGATGTGCGGAACTTTAGTAAACGAGACAAAATCAGTGTCTCCCATGGCTTAATGACACAAAAAACGAAGTGAAATCGGGGCTGTTTGCGGTCGACCAGATCGGAGGACGGCGAGTTGGATGGTGGGGTCGTGCCGAAACAGTAACGACGGCTATGGTGGCAAGGCGGTTACCGGAGAAATTTGAAAAGTGAGAGGCAAAGACAGTAGGTCAACTGGGTAAAGTACGGCGAAGAAAGAATTGCCTCTTAGTAGGCTCTAGATACCATGTTAAGAAATGTGGTTGGACCTAACTCAACCCTACAAAACCGGTTGGTAGAGTGAGGATTGCAACTTATAAACACATGTTCATGCCATATATTGTCCGATGTGAGACTCTTAACACCTAGGAAATAGTCCAATTTGCCCAACTGCTTTAGAGAGCATTTATCATTAAGATGTTTAATCAAAGAACCTATAAATGAGGCAGAATTTCCTGTGATGATTATATCATCAACATAGACAAGGATCATGATCAGTAGATTGCCATGGTTAAGCAAAAATAGGCTTGGATCAAACCTCCTAGTCTGAAACCCATGCTGGAGAAGAGCACTCTTAAGTTACCCTGGAAGCCTGTTTTAACCCATAGATAGCTTTGTTCAACTTGCACACTAGAGACTTATCAGCTGCTTCAAATCCAGGAGACTGCTGCATAAAAACTTCCTCTTCAAGAGTGCCATTAAAAAAGGCATTGTTAATATCAATTTGTTGAATAGTCCAGTTGTTTGTGACTGCAAGAGTTAACACAATTTTGATTGTAACAGGTTTAACAACAGGTGAAAATGTTACAGTGAAATCACTTCCAGCCTTTTGATGAAAACCTTTGGCCACCAGCCTGACCTTGTACTTGTTTATGGAACCATCAGAATTCTCTTTTAACCTGAATACCCATTTACGGCCTATAGGTTTCCTAGAACCAGATGATTTCACCAATGTCCAGGTCTGATTTCTCAGCAGTGCCTGATACTATTCTTGCATTGTCTGAAACAAGTGAGGAGCAGCCAAAGCTTGGTCAACAGATGTTGGTTCCATATGGGTAAGAAGCAGTGTAGGATGAAGTCTAGGAAGAGTAATGCCTCTTTTAGCCCTGGTTTGCATAGGATGAACATTTAAAGGGTGGATGAAAGGTAGAGATGTATTGGGAGTGACAGGACTAGGTGCAGAAGATAGAGTTTGGGGTGAAGAGAGAGAGATAGTGTTGGCTTCTGCGGGATCAGAAATGATAAGAGCAGGGGTGGAAGTAGAAGATGAATTGGGTGTGTTAGGAGTAGCAGATAGACCAGAAGAAGCAGAAGCTGGTAAAGAACTGGGAGTGGAGACAGGGTCAGTATTAGATGGAATAGATTGTTGAGAATTGGCTGAAGAAGAGGAGAGACTGTCATGCTGGCTGGGAACAGGAGTAGTGAAGAAAGATGGCATAGACCAAGCTGACACAGGAAGAAGGTGAGGCAAGAGTGGATTGAGAGATAGTAGGAAATATAGTGGAGTAAGGGAATTTGGATTCATGGAACAAAACATTTTTAGAGATGTAACATTAGATGCAAGGCACTTATACTCCTTGTAAGGTGTGGAGTATCCAAGAAATATACATTCTTGGGACCTATAATCCAATTTATGAGAATTATAAGGCCTAAGAAATGGATAACAAGAGCAGCCAAACACCCTAAGATTAGGGTAGTCAGGAGGTTTGCCAAGTAATTTAGAATAAGAGGAGTGGTTGTCAAGTGTGGGGCTAGGAAGTCTATTGATAAGGTAAGCAGCTGTAACAAAAGTATGATCCCAGAATTTTAATGGGAGGGTAGGTTGAGCAAGGTAAGGCCAGTTTCAACGATATGACGGTGTTTGCGTTCAACAATGCCATTTTGGTGGTGTGTGTGTGTGGACATGTGAACCTATGAATGATACCCAGCTCAGTGAGATACTTAGTGAAGGGCCTGAATTCACCTCCCCCATCACTTTGAACACACTTTATTTGACAATTGAATTGAAGTTCTACCATCTTCTTAAATTGAGTGAATTGGATTAGGGTATCAAATTTGAGTCTAAGAGGAAAAACCCAAACAAACCTAGAGAAAGCATCTACACATGTCAAAAAATAGGTGTAGCCACTTGAAGATGTCATGGGAGCTGGTCCCCATAGATCACAAACCACAAGCTCAAAGGGCTGACTGTACACAGTGGTGGATAAAGAGGTGGGCAGCCTATGAGATTTGCCTAAGCAACAGGCAGTGCACAGTTCAGCAGGGGGTTTTGAAAGGATAGGTAGGTGACACAATTTTAAAATTTCAGTTAGAGCATGATGATTTGGGTGCCCTAATCTGGTATGCCACAAAACATATTTATTATTGGCTATAGATGATGAGCTATTAACATGTTGAGATGATAATTCAGGATTATGAGTGACAACATTGATACGAGGAGAATTGGGAAAAGTACTCAGATTATTATTATTGAATGAAATAGAATTACAAGAAGGAAGACAATTTGAAATACAACTTGAAGTATTACTGCTATAAACTACAGGAGGACAAGATAAACTACAAGCTGGATTGCAATTATTCATGGAAGAAGCTTGAGCTGAACAAGTATGAAGACTGGGAGTAGACTTGGACAGTTGAGTGGCAGGATTAGGGAACTTGTAGGGGCCATCATCTCCAACTAAACCACGAAGTAGAACTTCAGAAGAAGCTTGTGATTTGACAACACAGAATTTAGGGTGAAACTCAAAGAAAACATTGTTATCCTGCGCAAATTTGCTTACACTAATCAAGTTTTTGGTGATGTGAGGGACAAGTAAAAGATTGTGAAGGGTGAGAGACATGTTAGGATTGTTTGGTGAAGGAAAGTACATGGAACCAACAGAGTTGATAGCAAACCTTGGTCGTTTCCCATAAAAACCTACTCAGATCCAGGCAAAGAGATAAAGTCGGACAAATTTGAGGCATTAGGAGTAATATGGTGAGATGCACCTGAATCTGAATACCACCATTGGTTGTTAAAACTAGCTTCAGAACCTGCAAAGAAAGCTTGAGGTGCAGCAGTCCTATGAGGAGTGGCTCTTGGAACTCCATAACCAAATGAAGGTTGAAACATAGGACGAGCTGACATGAGAAAGGGATTGTAAGTAGCTCTTTGAGGTGGATACGCAGCACCATTGGAATTGGAATAACGATGATAGCAGATACACACATCATGTCCAGATTTGTGACAAATCTGACATTGCATTTTGCCAAAACAACCACCTCCACGACCATAACGGCCACCTCCACGGCCAGAACGACCTCCACGTGAGCCATAACCATGATTCTCAGCATTAGCAGTGACGTGACTCGTACCTTGAGGAAACGCTTCTATGACATATTGTTCTGTGGTGGCCGTTGTAGACGGTGGTGCCACCTGCGTAAGATTCACCGTTGCAGGCTCAGTGATGACAGCCTTGCGATGCTTCTCCAGGCGCGACTCATGCGCAAGAAGCGACGACTCCAGCTCATCAAGAGAACTGAGTTCTTTTTTACTGTTAACATCCGCAACAATGGAGTTGTATTCCTCAGAAAGAGCGTCGAGGACGATTTCAATTAGGTTACGAAGAGAAATAGGATCTCTAATCGAAACCAGCGATTCACTGATTTCGCGAACACGAACCATGAATTCCTCAATTGTAAGCGTACGCAATTCCGATCGTAACTGTCGTGCTTTGGTGGAGAGAAGCGTATTGAAGTAACGATGAACCTCCGTCCAGACTTGCCATGAGTGCCTGCAATCCACGAGCTTCGGTAGAAGCGAATCGGAGATGGTGGATAGAAGTCATGTACAGATGAGTGCGTTCTGTTGTTCCCAATCAAGATATGCAGAATTCGCACCGTGAAGTGCAGAATCAGAATCGGACGGTGACCGTTGAGGAATCACCGGTACGGTGACGAAACGTTGCAAGCGATGACCGCAAACAACGCCATTGATTTGTTGCTTGAAGTTCTTGTCATCTACAGAGGTCAAGTGAGAAAGCTTCACTTGCGAAGATGGAAATAGAGGATCCATGGAAGCGTTTTGTTGGATCGTAAAAACAAACTCTAGATACCATGATAGAATTGCATAATGCAGTTAGGGAAAACAGTTAGAGAATTCCTCGTTCTATTTTCATAATAAAGGTGATACAATGAGCACTCTATATATAGAGAGAGTAGAGAGCTATAACAAACTGTATAACAAACTATACAGGTAGTAACTAACAAGCAAAGCTCAGCAATATAACAACAAAATTCTAACTAATCTCTTATCTACACTATATCTATCAGTTGTATGCAAATTAGTTTTTGTAAAAACTTTGCAAATTATTGCGAACGAATTTTCAGTTAAGTAAATTTTGCTTACAAGAGAGGATGATTAAATTTTGCTGTATGAAATTGTTTCAGAGGCCAAATGGGACCACCTCTTGATAAACTTAAGGGAGCAAATGACCAGAAGCTTGCTAATGGAGATGATACTCACAAGATCAAGAAGAATGTAGAACTAGAAAGTAACAATCTGAGCAACAATGAAAATGTGGCTGGTTGCTGCCAGGGTGTTAATGGGGTTTCTTGTTGCAGAAGTGCAAGTTTTGAGCAAAATAAAGTGGTTGATGAAACCGTGGAAGAAAATAAAAAACAGGGTTGGTCTGTATTACAGCAGCGTAATATTCTTACAGCTACTAGTATACTTGGAGCTTTAGCAGCTGTTGCCATTGGTTACAGATTTTATAGAAGGTCGGGCTGAGAGCTTGAGGGTATTTTCTATAGTTCTCACTCTTTATTAAGAAATAATAGTGAAATCATTCTAAATAAGTCTTATGTACAAGCTTCTATTTATTGGAAATGAAGAGGTGGTGAAACCTGATTAGAGATGTAATGATGAAAATTTTATATACAATTATGCTTTGTTGTATTTGTTCCTCTACGTTACTGCTTGTGTAGTAAATTCAAAATTTAATATGATCATTGAACTTCAAATATGTTTGTTTCCTCTTTGCTCTTATGTTATGTTTCCAGTTTTCTAGTGAGTTCAAAATTACTATGATAATTAAATTTTAGCTGTGCTCTTATGTTATCTTTTTGTTTAAATGCCTGAAGTAAAATCCAAGTAGTCAAGCTCTTACTTGTATCATAGTTCATGAATCGAACCAGAACCAATCATATATACATAGAAATGTGAACAATTCTACATTGTCTCACTTTAATATACCTTCCCTGAAGTTAGGTCCTAAACTAGAAGTCATCATTAAAAACATAATACCAAAAAAATTAGAAAGAACTAAGAGATGCATGAATACATTATGAGTCAAATCTATTTTGAAAACATTATTTACTTGAAAGATTATGTATTGAGCTTTGCAATCATCTCCTCTACCAATCTCAAAGTAGTATGTCCCAATTTCTCTCCCTCTGCATCAATCTCGTCCATTATCTGTTCAATAAGCTCATGATTAATTTGTCTATGTCTCGAGCTACAACTCGAGCAGTCTCTCAGAAGCAACAGCAATTCTCTAGCCATGGATTTGGCTCTGCACGTTCCAGCAGCACTTAACTGAAGCAATCCTGGCATCACCCCGTCTGTCAAAATCAATACTCTATATTTTTCTCTGCTGCTTTGACATATAAGGAGAAGTATACCAACTGCATGCTCTTTGCCTAGTGATGATCCATCTTCAATAGTCTCAACCAGTATCCGAATCGCTCCTCCGGTATTAGCAGTCTGACAAAGTGCACTCTCTGATGAAGAAACAATCTTTTCTAGCAACCCTATTGCTTTCTCAACCGATGAAGACGATTTTACCGAGCCGTGGATCAGTTCAAGCAAGGAAAGTATAACACCAGAAGATACAATCAATGGAATAATCTCTTGGCAAGTTGTGAGGTTATGGAGAGTAGCTATAGCATCTAGTTGAGATTGAGTTTGAGTGTTACTACTATTGATAAATTCAACCAAAATTTGAACTGCACCAGATGAAGCTATAGCTATCTTATTTCTCTTGCATGAGGAAAGTGTTAACATGGCTGCTAGTGACAATTGTATCACTGTCTGGCTCTCACAATGGAGGAGGTTCAGCAAAATTGGCAAAACTCCATACCTGACTATCCGAATCTTGTTTCTGCAAAATTTGAGAAGTTTCTGGATTTCATTAACTTCTAAGCAAACCATTGAAAGTAATATTCTTATAACAGAAAAAAAAATGTATTCTCCCTTTGTGTTTTATAAATTACTTTTTAGTAAAGAATCATGATGGTGGATTTAAAATCCAATACTAACCAATGACAAATATTTATCACATAAAACATATTCCTTTAGACCCACTAGCAAAAAACCATCATGGGGTAGTAAAAAGTTCAAACTTTTTAATTACTCCAATAGTGTTTGGTTGAGTATGCTTTAAACTCAATTCCTCTATTATTTTGTCATGTACTCCCCATAATAGAGGTTTGTCAAATAATAGCTATATCAAGTTTGAATCCTAGGGGTTGGTCTGGCGGTGAGGACTATCTAAGATTTCAAGTTCGAAACCCCAAGATGCTCCGGCTTCAATTGGGTGTCCCAGCTAGTGAACAATGAGATTGGTTCTCTGGATTAGTCGGTCCTTGGACCGGATGCCGAGTTTTTAGAAAAACAACTATATTAACTCTAGCACTATAACATAGTAAAAAGTTAATACTTTTCGTGATCATAATTGAAAAGACTGTTTTTGAACTAGAAGAAATTTGGGAACATAACCAGAAGAAATGAAGAAAGTCTACACAGAATGTTGAATATTAAAGGTGAAAGTAAATGCACTAACCTTTCACTGCCAAAGGAAAGGTTTAGAAGAGCATAAAGAGAAGCTTCTATAGCTTCAAAGTTTTCAGAATGGAGCATGGAAACCAGAGGGACCATAACTCCACTTTCTGCCAAATTGTGTTTTTGCTTACTACACAATCTACTAAGTTTCATTGCTGCTTGAATTTGAGCTTCACTATCACCATTCCAAAGGTTTTCCACAATCTCTTTCTCCATTGAAGCTCTTTCTGTGTTCCTTGTTTGTTAGGAAATAGTAATTGTAGCATTGAGATTGGTTACTTGAAGAGGTAACTTTAAGCTTTTGAGGAGTTGAGGGTATTCCCAATCCATTGTTTCAACTAGAAGCAACATACAATTCTTTTTGATCATCTTTTTTTAACTCTTTGGTGTGTGTTGGTATTTAATTAATATTGATTCCTAACAGTGAATCTTTAACTTTCTTTGTATTGAAGCAAACAATTTCAGCTTTTGGTAGGTTTGTCGAAATTTTCTAATGATTTTGTGTTTTTTCTACTTTAATAATTGGGTGATTGTATAAGCTTGAAAATAATGTTTTCATTAGTAGCTAATCTCACTCTTGTTTATCACATTGACAACGTTTATTATTCTTTTCTTCAATAATGCCAATACTCTCTTTTGACCAATTCTACTACTAGAGCCATCATTATTATTCTTATGATATAAAGATACAAAATAGTGTGAGATAATAATAATATTAACCAAAAAAACATAAAAGTGATTTCATAAGTGGCTTTAGTAGATTAAGTTGAAGACATTATCTTCATGAAAAACAAAGAATCTGAAGCTAATTATCAAAATGGATAAGAAGAATGAAGCAAAGTGCACCACGTGGATTGCCAAATCAACATGTAACTACTCTGCCTAGCCAGGATTCTGTTAGCATCTTACCCTCCAATTTCAGAAGAAAAAAATGATTCTAAAGTCATAAATTTGATTTTGGTATATATTTAGATGATGTCGATTGAAATTTATTTTATTTATAGAATTGATTCAAAATTTAGACTGGATTTGAAGGGCTAAACAATCATACATTGACCTATTTTTTGGAGAGGGCGAAGAGGCCTTGAAACAAAACTTGCTTTGTATTTTTAATAGAAAATAAAATTTTCAAGTTTTGAAATTTGTAATTATTCTAGGGGTATTCTTAATGCACTCTATATTATTAGGGCATCACGTGAAAATATTAAAATATTTTTAAATTTTGAAAATGTATTTTCGGACGCACTCCAAATACACACATTCTAAGTCAATTCTGAGTCACGCCTTAGGAGTGTGACTTTTTTATATCCGAAGACGCATCTTCGAAATCTATCCGTAGATATATCTCTTTAGCATATTAAAACGAAAGCAGGAGCAGAAAATCAGAAAGTTGTATTTTGACAAAATAAAATTGTCATCCATAACATAAAATTAGTATTACAGGTGATGTTAACATAAAATCAAACATTACATTGTAATGTCCAAGTAGACGCTTCAACATCTTCACAATATCTTCGACCGATCTTGAAATCGTCGTTTCCACTTCGATCGGAACTTTTGTTTCGAAACGAAAAAATGTACTCCACGTAGCCCTTACATCTGCATACGTCTTAAACCCATAGTTGTTGAACTCAATCTTGTCTTCGTTGTTAATTGACGGTGAACGATACTCGAGCTTCACAATTTTTCGAATATCTTCGTAAGGTAGAAGATTTTGCACCTCGTATTGCAGATCTGCAAAGGTGTACTAATTGATCTTAAACTTTCGTCTGGGTGTCGCGTTGGAAAGGAGACATTTGCGACATACCAGATGATATTTATTTATGACATTTGCAACATTTTTTGTTTGTATAAAATAAAAACAAGAGTTTAAATTTATAGAAGTTGTAGACAAATATGGACCTAATAAATTCTATCATGTATCAATGGTGGTTTCGGAGTTGCATTTTTGGTACCTCCTTATTGTCTTATTTTGAAGATGCATCTTCAGAACCTCTCATGAACCAGACAGAAAATAAAATTTGTGTGTTTTGTTTGACAAATGAGCAAATTTTTTGACAAACATAAAAAATGTATTAAAATATTTGAAATGATATATATTACACTTCATTAATATTAATACACAATTACATACACTTAATTGATGATGAAAAACAAATCGAAAGATTTGTCGTTGGCTAAACCTATAAGTTTGAGTGGTATCCCCTTTGACTTGTGTACATTTGATTCTCTGCCCAATTTGGTGAACTCTTGCATCATTTCCACAAATCAGTCCAGCCAAGTATCGACTTTTATTGTTGAACGATTTGTTCACTCCACTGATGTAAGCGGTATAGGGCATCATGGTTTCAAATAAACTTGCGTAAAGTGTCGTGATTTTGGAATCTACCCAATACACATAATACGATCATTTGGATTTTGAGGTGGGGCAGTGCACAGTGGAAAAAAAGATTCCGAAAAATCGTATCTTGTAAGATCAATACACACTATATCATACACACTTGCTATGAGAATACCCATTTTAAGGAAGCACGTCCATGTTTTCTTCGGTGACGGTCCACTAATGCAAGGAGTAAGAGACTCATAAATTGCATCAACATTTTCTTTCTTTCTATAAAGTCGTGTGCATGATTCTTTATGTGTCCTCAACTCATGGATAAGTTGATGGCAAACAAGTGTTTGATTATCTTCTCCTTTATCGAGTAAAGTCGAAACAGTTCGAAAACTGCAATTATCGTCACCATTAACATTGACGATCCGTTCGATGTATTTGTGCATAAAAACTGACATCTCGTCAATGAATGAAATTTTTGGTGGAGTCGATGAAGGAGGTGGTTTTCTAATGCCAATTCCTTTAAAAATATTTTTTGAGCTATTGGAGTTGGTGAGTTCAGAATAGGTCTTTTTTACTCTCTAGAAATGCAAACCCTGCAGAATAGGTCTTCTCAGTAGAGACAACACCAAACATCTCCAATAGTGGAAGTCTGCACTTGTTGGTCTTATGTGTTGAATCAATCATGAGCACAGTAGGAAACGTGTTGAACAACTTGATGGAATGAGGATTAGTCTAAAATATATCTCTAACAGTTACTCCATCATTGCATGTTCGGTACCTGAAAACATAATTGCTATCATCCAAAAGTTTCAATAGTTGTTACATTTCACTTCTATCCCTCTTTAGCGCATTGTTATTTTGATACCGAATATTGTACACTTGCTTGATATTTGAGATATTTTCTAGTCTTTTACGTTTCAAAATTGCAAGTATGTTTTTCGGTTGAACCAAATTCAATGTCATGTCTGAAATGCATTCCTTCTCTTCCGGCATGAGGCGACACTCAATTGGATGACCAACTAACTATTCAAAAAATTCATGGTTATGTAAATCACATATGACATTAAATCTTCATTTCTTATTTGTCAACATATAATCACGCAACTTAAAGGGACACTCACATTTTTTTGAACTGGTGTCATCTCGTCTAAAATTCCGCAGAGGTATATATTTACCACTTCTTTCGCATGTCATTGTCATAAATTCACCTCTTCTATCTGAACCATTATTGAGAACCTTTCAATTACCACACCAAGCCCCAATTTGGAGGCCTTCGTACGAATCCATTGAATGATGTGATTATGAAATTCAAACTCTTGCTCATTTTTAAATTGGTTGCCAACATATACTTCCTTCACAATGACACCTTTGGCATCTAGAGACACAACATGTTTGTGGAAAACATCGGGTGCACCATATCTAATGAAAACACTTACAATTAAAAAAACTCAAAAAATGATAAAACTGTAAACAAAGCTAAAAAAAAATGAGAACAGACAGCCTATGGAGATGCATCTCTGGAAGAGTTCATACAAAATCCAGAGATGCATCTCTGGATCAAGCCCACGTTTTTCAGACTCAAAACAAGCTTAATGTGAGCAATGAGGCTTTATATAAACTATATTTACCTAGAATTAGAACTTACTTTGCTCCCTTTGATATGACGAAACACAAGAATGAAGATTTGGAGTAAAAATGTTTATTAGAATGGAAGGGTTTGGAGTGAAACCAAGTATGGGTGTGTGATCATGCAGGTGAATTTTTATCAACTTATTTTAAAAATGCATCTCCAAAAATATCTGATATGAGAAGGTGACAAAAATTTCAAAATCTCACCCCAATCCTACATAAATGCTTCTTCGGAATATCCACTGGACTGCTCAAATATCAATAAATTTGTTGAAAATACCCGAAGATGCATCTCCAGAATAAATTTTGTTTTAGGCTGGGGTGGAACTTATTTGGTGTTTCATAAGGTGGTGCGTCATACGTGCCGAAATATATCTCTGAAATCTGAAGGGTATTTTTGATTTTCCATTTTGTGTTTTTTCACCCCTTAGGGTGGGATAAAAAATTCCCTTATTTTATGTAATGGCTTTTGTTGGAATGAATTTCTAGTTGTTCATGTTGTTTATACAATTGCATTAATATGTTGAACTATAGTTTATATTTTGAATAACATATTAATAGTTAAATTAATATTGTGATTTTGGAATTCAGGAGACCCTGGCCATTGGAAGGCATGTTTAAGATTTTGTGTAATTAGAATTTATAGTGGGTCTATTTATATAAATAAGAAGATAACCATTTTAGATATTGAGCCTATAAATTTTGGGGCTTCTATTGCACCCCAAGTGTTATTCATGCTTCTTTTTTTTTTTTAGAAATTTCAAAAATAATTCTTAATTTTTTATTTTTAAAATTCGAACGCACTTACAATATAAATTATCTCTGAAGGTTAGAAATAACCATCAAAACTTGATATTAAAAACTTTGGATATTGGAATTCGGGCGCGTCTAACAGATCACATCAAGATTGGAATCAAGACCACACAATTTTAAAACTAATTCAGATTACAAAGTCAGAATTTAATCTAGAGATTGAAAACTGGGTGCTTATATTTAAGTAAACTTGCACCTTTTTCTCTCCCTTCATATTTCCACTTCTGCAAAATAGCAAAAATAGAGAATACAATAAGAGGGTCCTCATCTGCAATCACAAGGCAATTTCTCCTCATTTCAAGCCTTCTCATAGCTTCTATCTATTCCATTGAAGCTTATCACATCTCTAATCCACTGCATTGCACTTATTTGAAGCTTATCTCAATTTCCTTGACAAGTTGCTCATTTTGTTTTCTTTTTTGATCTCACATGCATACAT